ATACACTCGGGATTTTGAACGTCGGGATTTCAATACACTCGGGATTTCGAACGTCGGGATTTCGAACATGGGGATTTCGATAGACGGGTTGTCGGGCTTGCGATTGCCACCGCTTTAAAAACAAGTTCTGACAATGTTATCAAATATGCTATTATTATAATAGACTAGCTGTATTTATTAGAAGAACAGCGTCCATAAATGAGCATCAATTAAGTATGAATATGAGATGCTTTAAGTCTTGTTCGTCTTTCAAATAATATCCATTGTACTAGAGTTTCATTTTATTCTCAATCAATCATTGATACCCATTACCATCCAAATACTATCCACATCAATTAACTTTGCTAAGGTTGAAAAATGAAATATTTAATGCACGGTAATTTTAATATGAGTTTTATAAGGATGAATTAAACTATGTTGTTATTATATAATAAATACATTTATTAATTTAATGAAATTAAAAAAATATTTGTAATAAGCTCAACGATTTAATAGATATTTATAGATAGTTTATTTAAAATTAATGAATATTATTCATTAAAAAAATATTACGTTTAATTTTACTAACGCAGATTTTCAATTTGACTAATGCAAAGCGTCGTCGGATAATTTAGATGCCAGTCGTAATTAAATCATTCCTGTTGTTATCTCTGCGGGGGTATAAGTTATTGTAAGCTATTACACTAATAGCACTCACTAGTCTTAGCCTACACGTATTTCAATTCAAACAACGCCGAATACAAATTACACCCCGGACGTGTCCTTTTATTATGGATGGATTTATCTCACAATTTTAATTTTAATAATTGCGAAACACTACTCTCTGCCCTTCCGCACATATTTCAAATTCTAATGTCCTGCAGGACACTAGGAGTGGTACAGTAAATCTGCTACTATCCCAAAACAATTGGACGTTGAGCCGTTCTTAATGAGTTAGTTTCCATCCCCAACAAATCAATGAAAGCATTTGGTCAGAACGCATCGGCCGTTGGATTAAGTGCGATGAAGTCTGAAAAAAAATAGTTTAATTTATAAAACAATCTATAGTAAAATTGATTTGATCTATACCGTTTAAAATTAATCTTCGTGAATTAAGGTATGTCAATCAATGTCAATACATGCTGAATTTGACTTCCTCCTCCTATAAGACATCTTTGCAGCCTCCTTGCAGGAAGCGACGTCGATTCGGTTGATTCCACAGTTTCTACATGGATGGTCTCCTGACAAACATTTATCATTACCAATTAGTTTCATGGTACTTAAGGATTTTCCTTTTTATTACTTACTGGATTGCAGTTGAGGCACAATCTCGCAAATGATCTCCTTGAATAGGGTGGCAACTGCGAAACAGAAAACGACCAGTCGAATCATCTTTGATTATCTACTTGGGTTTTGATGGTGTAGATGTTGAAGCCGGCTCGGTTATAATTCGAATGAGCTCCCCTTATCGAGAGAGTTTATATAAATACGAGGTCAAAATGAGTGCATTAGCGTGTAGATAGGGAATCTTGTCGCATTACGAAAAGACATAACGATCTTGTTCTTCGTAATTATACAAACGATTTATGTGTTTATTTGCAATGCGAATCTCATTTCCTCCATTAGACTTTTATTTGTGAAAAAAAAAAGATATATTTCTAATCGTACATATTTTTTACATAATCTAGCTAATGGATATACTTAACATTCGAGTACGTGCTGTTGTTCTCAATTGTTAAGTACATGTGCACTCAAATTAGGTTACATGACCTTTTGAACTAACACATAATTCTTTAATCAAAATATTACATGGCAAAATACACGTATTATTATCGCAGACTTCATAGTAGTCAATATTATCGTATGAACATATTCAGATTTTTTTTTTAAATAAACAAATTATGCAGTTTTATGCAACAATAATCAATTAATAAACATGCTACTGACGAATATAATTGAAAGTCTAACAGACAATTATATATGATAAGCACATTACTATTAATTATTAACCCTTTTTTAATATTATATGGTAATTGATTGATGTATTACAATTACACGCAGAGATTTATTTAATTAAGCAAATAAATAAACTTTATGTTGTTTTTAAAATGTTTAATTTTAATTAAAAAAAAGTAATTGTAAATAATAGACAGTGATTAATAGTATTTATTTACTTTTATAAATTGAGTACACTTCCTTCCAAGTTCAGTGCAAGATAATTTACTATACCATTATTATTAGATAGTGATAGCTTATCTGTAGAATATATGTGCATAAATAAGTTTCAATATAATTCTTGTTGACTTGACACAACATAAAAGCTGACGTAATTAAAGTTTTAAAAATTCACGTATGATCTTTGATGCTCTTTAGTCCTATACTTTGACCTCGAATTGTGTTTCAATTATGATATGTATTTAGGAAGCTACTGCTATACTATACTAAAGCTTAATTTTTAATTTAACCAATATTGTTAGCTTCAAGACCAGGGGTCTCGCAATTCTTTTCGTTATTATAGAAAAGAACTAGTTTTACTTGGGTGCCGTATCACTTGGATACATAGTTCATGACAGTGGGATCATGTCATGATTATTTTTAGTGAGTCACCAACAATGTCATACGTTCCCTCCTATCACTGTTATAGAATCTATTGGGTATATCGTTCTTCCCATTAAACATGAGTTAGTGCGTTAATTTATAAGAATTTTAAATCAACTAAAAACCTAGAGCAAAGGAAAAAAAGAAAAGATATTTTGCTTTGAACATTAAGCGCATCCATTGTATTGCCTTTATTAATAAACACTTACTTTCACAAAATAATCACAGTATAATGGAAACAATCAAAGTCACGCATGCACACGTTCACAAAAAAAAACACTATATAAAAAAAAGAAAAACTTATGTAATAATTGCGCAGTATACGTATTACACAGTTATTCAATAAATACAACAACGGTTGTGATTAAACAATTCGAAATCACCAACTTAAAACAAAATTGTAAAATTAATTATGGAAGATTTCTTAAAATCATTTGATATAGTTTCTAGTAATGTATAATTAAACTAATAATAACATTTATTTAGTCTTCTTATTTTCTTCTATATTCTCATTTGCGGTTGTTTCTTTTTCTCCTTCAACAGGTTTTGCTTCAATCTGTTGTTGGGTGTTTTCAACGGCGTTTACGGGTTCTGCGGCAAATCCGAACTCGTTCATCCTAGTCTTATCAACTCGGTACATCCAACGCTGGTACAAGAACACCAAGAATATGATGTCATCTCTGAAGCATCCAATTCTGTACATCGTCGGCATTTTGATCACGAAAGCGAACATATCATCAATGAAAGTATTCAAAAATTTGTATGTTAACATTCTCCATGGTAAATGTGCAACAGACTTCAATTTGTAGTTAATGAATAATTGTGGGGTCATCATGATGAATCCGAAGGTTAACAAGTATCCGTAAAACAGACTCAACACGAAGGAATACCACCCCTTGTGTTCCATGTAAAATAATGCGTATCCACTGTAGCAGGCAAGCAATGGGAAACAGATCCAGGATAGATATTTGAAGGCCAACTCGTCGTATTGCCTGGTAGAACTTTCAACGTACGAGCCTTTGTCTTTAAATGACAGCCTACCATTCTGAAATTTGATATCGATAACTTTCTGTATCTTCCAAAGCTCAATGCATAATCCCACAAAGCAACTGATTTTAACCACAGTATTTGTATCGTTATCCAACACGTACAATAATACGATCAATGATTGGAAAACCCCAAAGAATACTGATCTAACAGACAATCCTTCCAAGGTATTTCTATTATTCCAAAACTGAATGTCGTTTTTGAATGCCAGCAATTCAAAAATGGAATGCAAAATTGACACGACGAAAGTTACACCCAATAAATAGGGATTGGTTTCCAACAGAGTTTCCTTCAAAGTGTCTTGTTCTTCATCGCTGTCTTCCGTCTCGGTGTCACCAAAGAAATTGAACTGTTTCTTCATTTTCTGGGCAGCGTATATTTGCCATTTAAACAAACTAAGTGGTTGTAAAGTTAATTGCAATGACAACGTTTCATTTAAAGGTTTGTAATCCTTAGCCATATTCCAATAATCATTCAAGAAAACTACGGGCTTATACATTTTGCCGTCGTTTATAAATTTAACATATTCGTTTAATGGTGGTGGGACGTTTCCATAATTCCATTGCGTGTAGTCAGTGACAATATTGATTGTTAAATTTGGATGCCAATGGGAAATGATTTTTCCTTCCTCTAATCCAGGTCCTTCACTTTCACCAGTTAATAAATTCTTTCTGCCACTCGCTTTTATTTTTTTGTACCTAGAAAATGGTAAAAGCAAACATAAGATAAGAACAATGATAAAGTGAATAAAGCCTTGATAAACATGTATGCTATAATAAAATGTTACCTGTTTATAGCCTTCGATGTGAATGAAATATGTGTTTTTCCAAAGATTTTAGATTTTGGGTCAGGGCTCTCACCAAACTTAGTTACATAGCAATGCAAATAAAGAGAACCATTATTTTGTAAGTGATCAGTAATTGGGATATCCTTTTCATGAGAGAATGTACCATCCTTAAGTGGGCCTCCATACCAATCACCATAAACCAAACCCTCTTGCAACCAGAAAAGTTTACTCGGATTGAAATCCATGAATTCTTCCTCCTCAGATATATACACATGAAGGGAATATTCTGTACCATTTGCAAATATGTTTTGTGCAAGAACTTGTGATTGAACAGGTCCAGTTCCAGTTGTATTTTGAGGGGCTGCTGGTTTGCGGAAAAAACTTGTGACAAAATAAATGATCATGGCACGCAGCAATAGTGATTTGGCCATAGCCATGAAAGATTCCCATTTTGATGGTTGTCTAGCTGCGGCTGCCTGCAATTAAAAAAAAAAGGGTCGCAATGAATAATTTAAAGTATTGATTTAATAGTAAACGTTTGGATACTTACGTTATCGGCCCCAGCTTCTTGTGCAACTTGACCATTGTTTGCCGGCTCCACTTGCCCGGCGTTTCCTCCGCCACTTTCACTCATCTTTGCAAATTAATTTCCTGAACAAGTTTCCTATTTAATTTCCTCGTAAAAGAGTCACGTCATGTCACATGAAGTTATTTATATCACCCTGATATTTTTATCATTTGCCGCCAGGGTTTGCTGAGGTTGACCTGGTTCTCTTTGGTTATATAAGTTTTTGTATAGTTGGTACAGACAATCAATATTTAATATAACCTAAGATAATCAAATGATTAAAAGTTTCAGATTTTCAATTTAATAGTATGTAAATTAATAGCATTGTTTATAAGAATTCACACTTCACCGCATTAGGTCAATCTATTAGATTTCTATATATAATTATAAACGATTTCATACATAACAAATTAAAAGATCTTCAAATAATCTTTGAATTCAACAATGACTACCTTACGACCCTTTACTTGTGATGATATGTACAAATTTAATAATGTGTAAGTTTAATCGACATATTTTTACAAAATGTATATTAAATTTAAATTATTTTAGCAATCTGGATCCCCTAACGGAGACATATGGATTATCTTTCTACATGCAATATTTAGCACATTGGCCTGAATACTTTCAAGTAGCAGAATCACCCAGTGGTGACATTATGGGATATATAATGGGTAAAGCTGAGGGCCATGGTGACAATTGGCATGGGCATGTTACTGCTTTAACTGTTTCACCAGACTATAGAAGATTAGGATTAGCAGCATCTTTAATGAATTTCTTGGAAGATGTTTCAGAAAGGTATTTTGTTCTCTATACAAGTTTAATCATTATATTTATTATATTTTCTTTGTAGGAAAAGAGCTTATTTTGTTGATCTGTTTGTGAGGGTGAGCAATAAGGTTGCTATCAATATGTATAATAATTTGGGTTACATTGTTTATCGAACAGTGTTAGAATATTATTCTGGAGATCCTGATGAAGATGCTTATGGTATTATTTATGTTTGTTTATTGAAGTCAGTAATTAAATTTTTAAAATTTCAGATATGAGGAAAGCCTGTTCTAGAGATGTGAAGCAAAAATCTGTAATACCTTTAACACATCCTGTTCGACCAGAGGATATTGATTAAATCACGCTTATTTCCAATTACTTCAAATAAACAATCTATACATTTAACTATAATTTTCCTTATATGTTTATATTGGGTTGTATTAATTTTTAAGTTTAATTAAATATTAATAAAAATAAACTGTCTTTTATTAAGGTTTTTATCATAATAATAATATTCATATAATTTATAATATAATGAATATAAGTTTTGATCCAGCGTAATAAAAACTTTGTGTATTTAATGTTAATTTGGTTGCCTATACAACATTTGCAAAAATAATTTAATTATATAGAAATTATCAATTAAAATACTTGTTAATAAACTATTTGTTATTACATTTTTAACCATTTATAGATATTAAGAAGAATGATTTGCTGAACAGAAATAGAAACTTAAGATTTGAATAATATAAAAGATTAATATATTGCGAGAGGAAGATAAAGTTGAAGATGAATAAAATATTGAATGTAAAACTCTTTTTTTGTACTTTCTATCCTATAGAGTTAGATTCACTTTGTTATATTTTTTTTTACAAGATTCTAACTTTAGGAATACTCTCAGAAGGGGGATGGTCCACCTTTTCAGACATATTTCCGAATATATTTACCCCCTATTGCCTCACAAACACCACACGAGTATCGAAGGGTATATAGTATTAACATTTACTGCAATACATTTATAATAATTCTTGCAATTATTCACAACTATTGGGTCAACAGCCACCCTTGTCCTAATTGATAAATTGATTCTTACACAAATATAATATATTCATAACATGAATATGTTTAAGATAAAATAAATCAAATATTTTAGAAGAAGAAAATAAAATTATGTGAATGCATATTTTATTTATATAGTATATAAAATACAGAAGGATTCCAGGATTCATATAAAGGATGAAAGGAATAACGGAATGCTCTACTGCCGTTGATTTATTAGGGTTTCCTGTGATATCGTATATTTGGTATCGGCTCACTTCTAGTGTAAATGTCTGCCTCGTACGTTTTGCAATTTCATCAAATCGGAAATGCAATATTATCCTGCGCTCAAAATAACAATAAAGAAAATTATAAATTTGATGGTAAGGCTCGAAGTAAGTCTCCGACGTGCAATAAAACCAGTAACGCAAACTAATCTCAGGATGTTTTATTACTTTCGCCCATCTTAGACTTTCATAACTAGAGATTGCTTAGTACGTAGAAAACGAGGACTACGGCGGCGCTTTATTGCTCTGTTGGTATACTTTTATCAAACTTTATGTTACTTCGTGAGAGTATGTAATTCCTCCCTAGAATCGCAATGATTTCCTATCCTGATTGCTTCTAAGAATTTTAAACGATCCTTTCATTATCAACAAGATATTGCAATTACGTTTCTTCATTTAATTCCGCCTAAAAAAAGATATATTTCCGAAACTTGCGCACGTATTCTCATAAATCTTTACTTTTAAATTATCTACGATTATTAAATATATAATATTTTCTATTTAACTCATAAATCTGTACGACGTAAAAATGCGTAATTAACATTTAATGATGATTAATTGATATTTAATAGTAATTATTATATAATACGGCCAGAGTCAGCTGTCGACTGCAATGATGATAATAATAATGTGCATAAAAAGTTATCACTTGAAATATGAAACATCGCTAATTTCTGCGTTGCAAATGAATTTGATATATATTTTTGCTTTTGAAAACTTTCTTGGCGTGTATAAAATGTATTAAATTAATGCGATTCAAGCTGACACAGACGGAGGGGTGTCTCGAGTTTAATTAATTTTATAAAATGGAATTCGTTAATATTTTGACAAAACGTTGCAAATAAAAAAAAAATCCCTTTTATTCGTCGAGAAGGAAATAGGAGATGTACATAAATGAAGTACTTTTTAACAGATACTTCTCCTTCATGAAACACCCATTTTAAGGACATATTTTGTAGTTCAAATGACTTGTTAATAGTACGAGCATTAACTTTAGTTGTTAAGTGTTTTACCTTTAATTGGAAACGATAAATGTGCGAGTTTAACACTTATTACTTGCTTTTATTATAGTTACACGTAAAAATCTCATGAAAAAAACATTGCTTTAATTATAATGATTTTTTAATGTAAAATTGGATTCGGATCATTAAACCAAACTTTTTTGTGTAGATTATTCTTTTGTAAATGAAAACAAAAAATAATAATGTAAAAGCTTTCTTTGTTTTCTAAATACTTTTTTTGCTCCAGATATTGATCACTTTGCTGAAGCAACAGAAGCATTCTTATATAAACAAGTAGACTTGAAGGTCGAGTTATTGGACTGCTAAAGATGTTATTATATAAATTAATAATCAAAATGATATACAGGAAGCTTAAGAGGATGAATCTGAAGCTATAATCACTAGCATTGAAAGCCTGAAACTGATTTAGGTCAATCTGAAGGTTTTGGAAGATATTGATTAGAATGGAGATTGAGTAACAACAGCTATTCAAAGTATAAAGAAGGTTATCGTCTTTTTTTAAAAGATATTTTACGTTTGAAATATATTAAAAAAAATGAGTGTTTTATGTTATTAAGACAATTAGGTTTGTACATAATATTTTACTCTACTGAAGCTTAAATTACATAAAATTAAACAACTACGTGTATTTTTCCATTGAATGAAAAGAGAAAACCTAAACGATATTTTATCAAAATTATTTTTAGTGTAGAATAAGTCCTCAACCACTACAATTGATTGACAAATCATATATAATGTAATTTGTTTAAATATTTTAAATATTAACCAATCGTATGCATTCCATAAAATTATAAAGCAAAATCACATTTTAAAGTATTTGAATAATTTCCTATGTTATTGCAATGATCACTAAAATTAAACTATCTAAATGTCTTTTTCCATCTTTGGTTGTTAACATTTTGTAAACTTTTATGAATAAAACATCTGAAAATAACATCATCATCTGTATTCTAAGATCCTATCATCATCATTTTCGAAACGTACTGATTGAAACATATGGATAACTCAATTTCTAATTTCTTCGGTCAAACTACATTTAACCATTTTATAGTGACTTATTTCCAAGATCTATTAACGTTTTTAGATAATTGCAGACTTCATTACTATCGAATAACAATATGATAGTCATTTTTTTCTATTGAAATTTGAACCAAAAAATATATATTCGTGTTGGCCTGTAATATGAAAACTGATAGATTATTTACCCTTCCCAATCAGCGGGAATTGAGCGTGCAGTAATACACGAGCATTCATTTATACCTTTTGATAACGTATTCCTATGCAAGTTACAAATTACTATTAAAAGCCAACTACGGTTTGGTTTATGCACAAGCTTTGGATTTTTATGTTTTAGAGTGGATTACATGGCTAATGCAACTTTTATTGTCAATACCGGTGAATCTATATTTTATTCTCTAAAATTCTCTATTCTATTTTTAATTTTGTTTAAAACGAAAAACGTATACATTTTTATTATTCAAATACCGTTAATATTAATCAATACATTTTTAAATAACGATACTAATTTTCTTCTTGTTAATTTATTTTTTTACAGCATTACCTTTTAATCAAATCGTGATCATTATTTCTGTTCGCATTTACTAATTTATTCCGGAACGTTGCATTTTCATTTGATACTTCAAAGTTGCATTTACTCTCTTTCATCAAGTAATTTATTGTCTTCACATCGAATTCCCCTTTTATTATTCCCAGCAATTTACTCGCTTTCATAAATTGTTACATTTCTACCATTGCTTTAAACGTTTCTAGTTTCAAATTTTCTTCATGTTATTTTTTTTTTAAATTATTATTTAAAGCGTGTACGTGATAAAATTAATGATCTTTAGTAAACTATCAAAATAATTAAAATTAAGTAGTTACATAAAATAAGCAGTTTCAACCAAATTATAAAAATATTTTTGTATATAACTTTTCTATACATTTATAAGAGAATTAATAAACATTAAAGTATCGATTAAAGTAATTAGTAAATATAATTTTTAGCAATTGATCTGAAATTCAATACTAAATAAATGAATAGTTTTATAATAATTTAATAAAATGATTTATACGATTTCTATAAATTTGTAGAAGAATTTATAAAAAATATTAAAATATGAATAGGGTGGATGGATCAGTGTTAATCCCACCCTAATAACAGCGCATGATACAATTCAATGCCCCGGAATTAATCTTCAAAATTAGTTAGATTACATGACGCCTATGACTGTGTTCGGTGTTGAACTCCCATTTAAACTATCCGAATGTTGTCAAGTTGACGAAAGTTCGGAGCGATCCTAAAATGAATACATTGTAGATATACATCACTGCATTGTATAAGCGCATTGAGCCAAGTAAAGTGAGTGGTTTGTTGTGCACGCATAGACGACACACGGAAAACAGATCGTAAAACAATTCGTTGTCACCGACTAAAAATAAAAACTGAACGTCGATAAATAAACGTCGTACAGAACATGCGCCGATGATTCGTTACACTTCATGAAAATAATCTGAATAAAAGCAAAAAAGAGTACAAAAACACGAATCCTTAATGAAATTTGTACACAATATTAGATTAATCCAAGATGAAATTTCATCATTCTGCATGGTTGCTATTATAATTACAATTTTTCTTTGCTGATATTAAGTTTCATTCTTCTTACACACGATGACAATTAATCTTCTTATACAATTTTTCAGAAAAATTATTACCAAATTAATTAAAAACTGAGCGTAATGAAACGTTACCTAAAAAAGTGCGTCGTTCCTAATGTATATTAAGTAATTTCCATTAACAAAACATAAAATATTACCTAAAATAAAGCAATCAAATTGAAGTTTAAAATATATTATTGAATAAGATTTTCTTTATTTTCATAATTTAAATTTAGCTTGTCAACCACTTTATCCGTTTTCCAATGCTTCTCACGATAACAACCAATTTTACATAAAATGTCGAAACGTCGATGAATGTGATTGAATCGATTTTGATTGTTAAGTGCGTTCTCACGGTTGGAAGTGAAATGTGACTGATCTGTTATGTGACAAGTTAAATATATAGTTGATTTTTTTTTATTATATTTATTTCATATACCAA